ATTTTTGCCTTTTAAAATGAGATACTCTTTGCATAGAGTAAAATCTGCTCTTTCTGGTATATAGCAATTTTGACAATCAAAATATGGAACAACTCCATCATCCTCCTCAAAAAAAAAATCCTCGTGCTGCCCCTTTGTAGCTAACCCTTCCACAACCCAATCCCTGGCAATGTTTTCTGGCCCCATAATTTTGCCTTTTCCAGAATGTCATATAAACAGAATCACATATATTTGTCCTTTTAAGTCTGGCTTCTTTCACTTAGCATAATGTATTTGAGATTCATCCATGTTGTATGTTATCGCTAGTTTATTTTTATTGTTGAGCTGTATTCCATTGTACAGATGTACAGTAGTTCATCCACTGACACTTGTTGAAGAACATTTGGGTTTTTTGTAGTTTTTGACAGTTAGGAATACAGCCATTATTAACATTCACATATAGGTTCTTGTGGGAATGTAACTTTTCATTTCTTTTGGTAGTAGAACAGCTAAGTCTTATGTTGAGTATTTTTAAATTTAAAAGAAACTGCCAAACTGTTTTCCAAAGTGTATCATTCTGCATTCTGACCAGCAGTGTATGAGTGTTCCCATTCCTCCATATCCTCACCAGCACTGTTTATTGAAAAGACAATAATTGAATTGCCTTTGCACCTTGTTGAAAAATCAGTTGACAGTAGAGTGCAGGTCTATTTCTGGATTCTGGATTCCATTCCATTGATGTAGATGTCTATTTTTTCACTACCACTTCACTGTCTTGATTACTGTAACTTCATAGTAAGTCTTGAGATCAGGTAGTAGAGAATTCCAACTTTGTTCCTCCTGTTAAAAATTGCTTGGCTCTTCTCATTCCTTTACCTTCCCATATAAATTTTAGAATCAGCTTGTTTACATCTCAAAAACAATCCTGCAGAGATCTTGATTATGCTTGGCTCTTCTCATTCCTTTACCTTCCCATATAAATTTTAGAATCAGCTTGTTTACATCTCAAAAACAATCCTGCAGAGATCTTGATTTGGATTGCATCAAATCTATGGTCAGTTTGAAGAGAACTGATATCTTAATAACAATGCATCTTCTAATCCATGAACATAGTACATGTCTCAATTTGTTTAGATCTTTTTTTTCATGAGTATTTTGTGTGTTACAGATGTGCATAGGCATTATGCACATATTTTGTTATATTTATATCTAAGTACTTCCATTTGGTACTATTGTAGATGGTATTGTCTTTCTATTTGGCATCGTGTTTTATCTCAATTGTTTAATGTTACTATACAGAAGTACAATTGATTTTTGTATATTGATCAAGTATCCTGAAACCTATATAAACTCACTTACTAGTTCTAGTAGCTTTTTTGTAGATTTCTTGGGATTTTCTGTGTAACCACTCACATTGTGAATATAGATCATTTTATTTCTTTCTTTACAATCAGTAGGCCTTTATATCTTTTTCTAACCTGGCTGGGACCTCCAGTAGGATGTTAAATAGAATAATAAAAACAATCATCCCTGCCTTGTTCTCAATCGTAAAGGAAAAGCATTCAGTCTTTCACTATTAAGTATGGTGTTAGCTGTACGTTTTGTAGATGTCCTCTATTAAATTAAGGAAGTTTACTGAGATCTTGTTGTTTTTTTCTAAATCAAGAGTGGATATTGAGTTTTGTCCAATATCATTTCTGCACCTATTGAAATAATTTAGCTACATCCCATAAATTTACTTACTTTTGTTTTCAACTTCATTCAGTTCATGATATTTTCTAATTCTCCTTGTGATTATCTCTTTGACCCATTTAGAAAAATGTTGCTTAATTTCCAAGTATTTGTGAATTTTCCAGATACTTTTCTGTTATTAATTTCTAGTTTGTTATGCTCTGAAAACATATTTTTATTTAAATTTATTTAAATTCTTTTAAATATGTTAAGGTTTTTTTTTTAAGGTCCAGAAAATGGTCTTTCTTGAGAACTGTTTCTTGAAAAGAATGCATACTTGCACTTGAAAAGAATGCATATTTCATTGTTTTAAGGTGAAATGTTCTATTAATGTTAACTAGGTCAAATTATCTGACAATGTTGTTCAGGTCTTCTATGTTTTCACTAATTTTCTATCTTCTTGCTCTACTGATCACTGAAAGAGGAGTGTTGGGACTTACATATCTCTTTCCTTTCAGTTCCATCAGGTTTTGGAATGAGTTTTGAGATAAACTGCATCCCATATCTGGAAACACCCTTACTAGATGCATATAAATTTAGGATTATTATGTCTTCTTGGTAAATTGACACGTTTATTTTTTATATTATGTTCCTCTTTATCCCTGGAAACTTCTTGTTCTGAAGTCTACTTTGCATGATATTAACAAAAACCACTTCAGCTTTTTTTGTTTGCATGGTTATATTTTCCTTTTCTTTTAACTTAATCTTTGTTCTTATATTTAAACTGGGTCCCTTGCAGACAGCATATAGTTGGATCCTTTTCTTTTTATTATTCAGTCTGACATTCTCTCTTCTAATTGTTATGTTTTGATCATTTTCATTTAATATAGATATTAGTATGGTTGGATTTAGGTCTACCACTAATTTTTTTGGTCTCCCCTCTGTGTTTTATTATTTTGTTTCAACTTTCCTGCCTTCTTTTGCAATATTTGAATATTTTTTAGTATTCTAGTTTAATTTATCTATATTTTGTGCTCTATTTTGTTGCTCTAGGAATCACGATATACATATATGAAACCTCACAGTATACTTCGAATTAATATTGTATCACTTCAGTATAATACAGAAGTCTTATAGAGCAGTAGGTTTCTCTTAATCTTCCCCCAATGGCTTTTACATTATAGATGGAATATGTATTCCATTTATATACTTAACCCTTTTAGACAATTTATATTTTTTCCTTTCAACTGTCATACATATTTTAAAGAAATTAAGAGAACCAATACAGCCTTTTATATTTACTCAAATAATTGCCATTTCTGTTGTTTTTAGATGTCAATTTATCTCTGGCATCATTTCCTTTCAACCTAAGGAACTTCTTTTAACTTTCTTTTAAGAGAAAATATGCTGGTGACAAATTTTCTTAGTTTCCCTTCATCTGATAATCTCTATTTTACATCATTCTTGAAGGATATTTTCACTGGATACAGAATTCTGGGTTGACAGTTGTTTTCTTTTGGCACCTTACAAATATTTTTCCACTCACTTCTGGCCCCCATGTCTTTTTTTGAGAAAGCTACACCAAATAATCATTCTTTGTATAGAAGAAATGTGTCATTTTTCTCTACCTGCTTTCACGATTTTAAAATTTATCTGTTTTTTAGCAGTTTGGTTATGTATGTCTATGAATTTTTCTTTGAGTTTAACCTGTTTGGGGTTTGCTTAGCTTCTTCAATCTATAAACTTATGCTTTCCATGCAAATATTTTTTTCTACACCAGTCTCTGCTTTCCTCTCGGTGTCCAATGACACGAATCTTAGACTCTGTGATATGATTCCATAGGTTCCTGAGGCTATGTTAATGTTTTTCAGTCTTTCCCTCTGTTTATCAGATTGAAAAATCTCCGTGATCCATCTTCAAGTCATTGGCTTTTTCCTGTTCCCTGCCATTCTGCTATTTAGCCTATCCAGTGAATTTTTTATTTCAGGTATTTTTTTTCAGCTCTAAACTTTCCAGTTGCGTCATTTTCTCGTCCCTATATCTCTGCTGAGAACAACTATCTTTCCATCCATTTCAAGTTATAATAACTATTTCAAAATCTTTTCTAGTAATTCCAACATCTAAGTCATCTTAGAGTTGGCATACGCTGATTGTATTTTCTCTTGAGAATTCATCATATTTCTCTGGTTCTTTATATGTTGAGTGGTTTCAGATTGTATCCTGGACATTGTGAATGTTATATTAGGTAGACTCTGGGTCCTGCTGTATATAGTCCTTTATAGAATGTTGATTTTGTTGTTGCTGTTCTGACCTAACATCTGTCTCATCTTCTGTTGGTGGTTCTAATCTCAGTGCAAATCCTCAAGAGAAATGTGGCAGAATGAAAACTCTCTAGCTCAAGTCTTCTAAAAATTCAAATGCCAGTGTCTTCCCACTGCCCTTCTCTGGCTAGAAGGGAGCATCAGAGGAAACAGACCACCTCTGATCAACCAGGAGAGTAATGCTTTGATCTAAGTTGCACATTAGCTTACAGGAAATTATGTTATATGAAATGTTTTCATATACAAACAATTTTCTAGAAAAGTCTTACATTCATTGGCATGTTCCTTTGGTGTCAATGCAATACATTATCAGTCAGAACTTTGAATCTTCCTCATTTATATCCCTGTTCCCATGTATTTGTTTGGAAAAGCCAATGGGTACATCATGGAAAACTGAGGTGGCTATAGGGAGACCCAGCAGAGCAGGAGATGAGAAGTGAATAAGAACCAGTGCTGGCATGGTGTGGGGGACCACGGGGAGAACAGTGTAGCAGAGAGAAAGCACATAGTGGATCTGAGGCATCTTGCTGCACTGATGGACAGTGACTCCATTGGGGTATGGGTGGGGACTTGATAATATGGCTAAATGTAGTAACCGCATTGTTTTCTCATGTGAAACCTTCATAAGAGTATATATCAATAACACCTTAATAAAAAATCAAAAAATCAAAAAAAGAACCAGTGCTGGGATGGGGGGCAAGACTCCAGATGAAGTGGTCAGTGCTACCAAAGAGAAGATGGGATGGCTTCACCCCAGGGGCAAACCAGGGGGTCACAGGATCCAGTGGTGTCTGAGAGGGGTCAGAGGTTTGGGAACTTCCCCAAGGCCATAAGGCTGGTAAGTGGTAGAGGTGGGAGGAGAAAGCTTGGTGGTCTCCAGAAGCTGCAGGAACCAGGTTGAAGCTGGCACTGCAGACAAGGGAAGAAAACACCCAACACAGCCACAGGCTCCCATCTCCCAGTCCAGGGCAACCAAGGCAGATTTGCTGGTCTATGGCTTATGAGACAGGAATAAAAGCACAACCAGCATCTGTCACAAAAGACCTTTAATGGTCTCCTTTTTATGGTTCTTTTGTTCATTTGTTTTGTTAGAATTGAATAAACTGCAATAACTTATCTGACATATCAAGGAATGCCACAGGTACAACAGATAAACCTGACAGGTGGCCCAGGAATGAGAGTCACAAAATAATCACTTAACATCAGGGCTACAGACCTGGAGACCTGTCCCAGACATCTGTCACTCCCTGTGCCCAGGATCCACACATAGTCACTGTGCCAGGCTGCATACTTCTCCCAATGGCTAGGAAGAGGAAGGCCCACGATAGCATCTGTGACTAGATCTTAATACTGAGCAGAGATGCCCAAGGAAGACGGCACATCCTATACTCATTCCTGAGTGCTCTGCAGGTCTGCACCCCAAATTTGTGCGGCTCCCACCTGTCATATGACACCACCTCTCATACATGCCTCTCCTATGACCCTCCCTTGTAATAATCCCTGTAAGGTGGGCAGAGCCTGGCACTAACCCCATCTTACACACAGGGAAAATGAGGTCAGTGGGGTTCCCAAGAGCATGCTTGGGCAGAATGTAGAACACCTGTTGGCACTTTCTCCCATGCCATGTGGCTTGCTGTGCCCTGAGCCTCACATTTGTACCTCAAATGCCCTGAGTGGGGGGCCCAGGAAGGATTCTGTGCCAAGGGCTGGCCCAAGTCCCACCAAAGTGCCCACCTACCCCTTAGCCCAGGTGAGGGGCCCAGGCAGGTTGGTAGGGAGAGAATCCAACAGACTGAAGGTGAAGGACCAGCACCTCTTCAGGCAGCTCCTGCTGCCTCCACACTTGGTCCACAAACATAGGAGTGGAAGCCTATTAGAACTGCTCAAGGGAAACCTGCTGCTTAGAAGTTTCTGGAGAGATCTTGCCCTCACAGGGTCCTCCCTGGGAATTTTTTTAATGAAAACTTGGACTTTTATCCATCTGGCTGACTGTGAAGAGGAATCTGATTCTAGTTTCTTCTTCTGTCCCATCACCCACCCCATGGGCCTGGGCCAGGGAAGCACAGGATCATATTGGGGTGCAGACACAAGTTGTGGGGTGGGGGCTGGGCCTGCTTCCTTGTTCTATGGTCCCCTATGCTGTGTGGCCAATATCAGGGTGAAGATCCATCCTCACTGAGCACCAGGACCCTGCCCAGATCAAATCCAGGTGAGAGTTTCTGGGTGGGTGGGCTACAAGACCATGAAATATGCACACATGCATGTCTGTGTGAATAAACAAATGCTTGGGCCTGGGTCTGTGACCCAAGTTCCAATACAAAGATCCTTTGTATTGGAATAGTAGAGCCATTCCAACATGAAAAGCAAGAATAGAAACTGGCTTGCTGGTCTAAGATCAAACCAATGGTGGTTTGAAGTTTTTCTTCAAAACAAAAATTTGAAGGTGAAACCTCAATAGGCAAAATAGACAAAAGCAGAGCTGTTCTGGTGGAAGTGGGACTGGGGGAGGACTGAAGACTTATCCTTTGTCTTCACCCCCATCTTCCCACTTTAGCAGCCCCTGACAAAGCTCTGTGGACCACCAGGTGTTCCACAGCACCTGGTTTGAAAACCACTGTGTCATAGTGTCTGTAGGTCATGGGTCCTGGGGACCTGTGCTTTGACTTCCCTTTCAGGGTGAAGAGTTGGCAGAGTGTGATGGTGGTAGGATCTCCCCCTTCAGTGGGCCTCTCTTTGAGGCCACTGTGCAGTAACCCTGCAGGGAACTGGTAGGGGTGAGGATCACGCTCCACAGGTAGCCCCAAAGCGATGGAGCTTGCTCCTGGAGGGAGGGCAAAAGTGATGAGCTTCCCGGGCCAGGGTGGCAAAATGCCAGGCCCAATGCAGGCTTATGCAAAAGGGTGGGGAAAGTCCATTTTGGTCCTTGTTGACTTTAAAAAGAGAAACATCAGAACAAGCAGAGGCCTATATCCTTGAGATCCTATGAGTTCAAGATGGAGGGCCTACTGCCTTCCTCCAGGATGGGTAGTATCCAGGTCCCAGTTGCTGGCAGGAGAAGCTGCCTTTATGGGCTGCTAGAACCAATGGGAGATGGGTCAGCTGGGGGTCAGTTCTCAGAGAGGGAGGCCTGGATTTTCTGTAGGCGCGAATCCCTCCCAAGTGCCACCAAGAAGCATTGGCAGCTCTGGTAGACCCTTGAGGGGGCCTTATACTTTGAAGGGAATGAGCAGGCAACTGCCATTCCACCTCACATTTACAGTTCTTTGATGTAGGGGTGGCTTGACCCTCCCTGGGCCTGGGGGCTGGTGGCTCTCCCTAGCCTGGGATCGGAGCCAAGGCTTCTTGGCCTCTGTGGGGTCTGAGAGATGGGAAGTGTGGGTGACACTTCAGGGAGTGTACATGCCCCTGTCCCAATCACTGACAATATCTTTGTCTTGTCTTTCTGTTGTAGTTGCTGGAACCACCGTCCATGGGCATATCATTCCTAAATAGTGCCTGAATTTCCCTTTCAGCTGGGCTACCAAAGCCCAACTGGCTGCTTCTCATTCTGGTTGACATCTAAGCAAGAAGGGCGCAAGAGATGAAGACTAGTGGGAGGAGGGCTCAGCCCAGTAACTTCCTATGTGACCCTGAGCTACTCCCCCACAGGGGCAGGGCCATGAGCTGTGCAGCCATTTGCAACCTACAGAGGTGACTCATCTCACCAGGGCCTCACAATTCCTTGAGTCAGGTGGGGAAGAGATTGCTGTCCCACTTTACAGTTAGTGAAACTGAGCCCAAGAGGTTGAATAACTTGCTCAAGGCTCCTCAGCTGGTTGGTGACAAACCAGGACTGAGAGGCATTGTGACTTTCCAAACCAGCATACTTTTCACTGCACCCTGTGCGAACCAGCTTGCTGGCAACTCCCCAAGCTGAACCAGCACCATGGGTGAGGTCAAGTTCACCTGTCTGGGCTTTGAGCCTGAGGAGACCTATGGAATCCAGCCAAGTCATTCAGTCCTTAACTTCACAGAGACTGAACTCTTCTTGTGGTTGGAATGATGAGGAAGTCCAGCTGGCCCTCTGCCTGCAGATTTTTGCTCTTCTTTCCTGCCCAGACTGCTACCTATAACCCACATGGCCCAACGGAAGTCCCACTGTAGAGCTGCATGGTCAGCACAAGCCATGATAATGTGCGCAGAAAGAGCCAACACTGCAGATGTCTGTCGCACAGCAGGGCCCCCTCACCCCTAGTTTTACTCTGAAGTCTCACCTGACCGACTCCAGATGGAGAGGAACCCTGCAGGGCAAAGATTCCGTGATGTTTGGGGCTGCAGGGTGGGTGTGGGCTGGAGCTGACCAGAAACTTGGAAAGATGCTGTGGGCCTTTCCCTCAGGAAGGGGCCAAAGGAAACACTCTGGCACAAGAGTCCCACTGGGCTGCAGTGCACGGCTGTGCAGGAGGGTGATGAGCCCAGGGGCAGGCAGGGTTCAACTCTGGCCCACGTGCCACTCAAAGCTGTGCCTCCTAACATGGGCTGAATCCATATGGAAGGGGCACAATTTCTAATTCACATCAAGGTACTATATAGCCCAGCAGCAGCCATGGAGCCCTGAATACAATGGCTCCCTGTTACTTCCCCCTGTAACTGTCCCCTGACCCTGAGCTTCCTGAGGACAGGGGCTGGGACTGACTCATCGCTGTGTCTCCAGTGCTTGGCATTGAGCAGAGAAGTTGTCCGCCAAGGATGGTAAAGCCAAATCCAAAAGAACTTGACCACCTCTGCAGTCCTGGCACCAAAGAGTAAAAGTCTGGATGGGGCTCTGATGCATCCAGCAGCTGGGAAATTTCAGGTAAATGTCAGGAGAAACTCAGACGGCAAGTGGGATTTTGATGTGGAAGAAGCACAAGAAACCAGCCTGGCAAATCTTTTGTGTGTATGGGTTAGGAATGGGGGGAGAGGTTTGTGTGTAGGGCAATGATCACCCCAAATCCTAAAGGGTCTTATACCAGCCCAAAGGGGCCAGAGTAAGACACTGGAGAGCACACGGTTGTTTAGCACTTCACTTCTACAGCTGCCCAAACAAGGTGTGAACTGCCCGGCGAGCTCTGATAGGGGCTGGATGCCAAGGGCACCTGCAGCTGGGACCCCAGGACTGGCCACGGGTGGGTGGCTGCCCCGAGCTGACTTGGTTCTGACATGGGGTAGAGGTTCCTAGGGTTGAGTCTTCATGAGGTTCAGAAGGGAGGTCTGGGGGGCAGTGCCAGGCATGGGAACTGGGTAATTTCACCATAGAAAATCGTTATACCTACCCCAGGTGGGGCTGGACTGAAAAGGGTTGAGACCCATCTGGCATAATAAAATTTTGTCTTCTCCCTCTTCAGGCAAGTATAGGACAGAGATAGAAGGGAGCAGGAATGGAGGAGAGATAGATCCCTTGACCTGCTAATCAGAACATTTCCTTGAGTATGAGGTAAACCTCAGGGTGTCTGTGAGGTACTGAGGCCCTATGAAAAGCCCCCCTACTCCTGGCTACCCTCACTCCAAACCTCAGCAAATACAAGTTGTGCTCTTCTGTCATACTCAGGCTCTAGGGCCATGCAGCTCATGCTAGTTAATGGCTATAACATGACATCAGGTGACTCTCCAGGGGTCCAAGATGGGCACTTCCCAGGCCTGGTGTGGCAGGCATGGGTGGAAGGGCAGGGGTTGACGCTCTCCTGTGGGGTCCAATGAATACCCTCAGCAGGCAGATGGACCAGCATCAGTGGCTCTGGCCCACCCACCAGGCCAGAAGCTCTAATGTCCACAAATTCTTAAGAGGCCAGAGCTCGGAAGGCCCTTTGTGATCATATGGTCAAAATCCTTGGTTTTCTGGGTAAAGAACTGGGGCCCAGAGAGGGAAAGGAACTCACCCAAGGTGACACAGTTAAGTGAGCATCAAAGGCCAGATAATCATAGTTGCCTTTCAACACATTCTACCTCATCATCCTGTTGTCCTGGGAACACCCCAGGTCCCAATCACACCAACATCAACCAGTGGGTCCTGGTACCCATGACACTGGGAACTGAGGGGTCACCAGTTCTCCAAGGGGAAACAAGGGGCTCTTTGCTACCCAGCAGCTCCCTTCCCTGTAGGTGAGGGCATCTCGACAGACCCTGCCACCTTCTGAGGAAGGACCCTCTTTGACTGTGGGTACCGTGGCCTCAGGCACTTCCCCCCAGCCTGCAGGGCCAGCCCAGCCCAGCCCTGGAGATCTTCAAGGGAAGGCAGGAGGACCCTGGTGGCTCGGGCTCCCTCTGGACCCGTGACCTTGCTTCCCTGAGGGACTGCTGATCGCTCGTAAGGCAACAAAAGCAGGGGACAGGGCAGATCTTTCCCCTCCCCTCCCTGTCACCATCTATCAGAGCCACCCTCAGGAAACCTCACAGGAGCTCTGGCTCCCTCTGATAGGAGTTGGTGCTCTCTGAAGGCCCCTCCTTTCTCTCTCTGACTATTTATAGATAGAAGACACACATAAGATACAAGGTATCTGGGGTGTTACATCCTGACAATACTGAGATAGACTTGGCTAGTTCACACAGCTTGCTTTAGACTAAGTAACTGCTGGTAAGAAAGTCTGTCCATCGAACTCCTGGGGCCTACGAACCTTCATCAAAGTCACTGTCCACACTGAGGGACATGCAGTGGAGAAGGGGGTGCAAGGGGAGAGGGTCTGGTGGGTCTGAATTGCACAGAGGCATTGAGAATCTGTCCACAGTCTGCCCCTCCCTCCAGAAGAGGGTGGCCTTCATGTGGTCATCTTTTAGCTGCCAGAACTGTGTTAACCACCTGGGACTGTGGACATCCTCTCATGTGTCCTAAGCCCTCATCCCCACCTGTCCAAGCCCTGTGTCCCATTCTGCCCCCCATCCCAAGTCAAATTCCAAGGTCAGAGCCATGGTGGCCTTTCTGGGGGTCAGCAGGAAAAGAGGAGGGATGGAGAGGTGACTGCAGTGAGGGGGTGAACGTGGCATGGGCGGCCCTGCTGACATGCTGATGTGGGGCCAGTCCTGAGGCATGGCTCCAGGAACCACGGCCTGGAGGACGGCGAGGCCCTGGGCAGAAACTGGAAGAACAAAGAAGAGGGGAGCCAGAACAGGGAGAAGACGAGTAAGCATCCTAGTGCGTGGGGTGGACCTGGCGCTGCCAGGGGAGGCTGCCCAGTCTATCTGTCGTTGAGCAGTGGAGAGCCCGTACCATCTTCCTCTTCCTCCTTGTCATCCTTCATGCCTTTCAGTCTCTGGCGGGCAAAGTCCTCAAACACAATGTCGTCATCGCTGGTGGAAAGACAAGGAAAATGGGGCATGTTTGCAGGGCTGGGGAAGCAGCCTTATCTAGAAGGGTCAGAGGGCCAGCCCAGCCAAACAGGACTGAGGCCGGCCCCTGGGATTGACCTTGGGCAGAGAGGCCCGCCAGGCTGGCACATCTGCAGGCCTACCAGTGACAGCGGGAGCAGCCACATACGGCCTCCAGCCCATTGTAGAAACAGCAGAGGGAGGCTTGAGTGACTCAGTTCTTGATGAATATAGGGTAGGGGGCATATCAAATGGCTGGGGGCAGGGCAGGGTGAGAGAGGAGTATAGCTAAGCTGCAGCCAGAGGAAGAACTTATTCCTACTGTGAGAGGCCAGGCCACCAGTAGTTTCCCAGCATATTCTGAATCTCCCAAGAACAGACCCAAGAAACCTCACCCCCATCTGAAGAGCTACCCTCAGGAAGCAGCCCTGTTTCTGCACAGGAACCGGTGGGCTTGGCTTACTGGGAGAGAAAACCACAGAGAGCCTTTCTCCAGGGAAGTGCGAGCTCGCATTCCATCCTAAGGGAGCTTGGGTAGGAGAGGGTCTGGGGGGTGACAAGTCTAAGCAGCATGGCAGAGGAAGGGTAGGTGGGGAAAGGGGTGCCTGAATGGGATTTCAGGACTAAGGACTGCTTCTAAGACCACTGAGTTTCCTTCTGCGATAAAACATGCACACTTAGGCCCAACCAAGTCCCCTATCCCACAGAATCCAGCCAGCCAGCTGGGGTGTCTTCATGGGGTGACTTGAGACCCCACATCCCAAATATCTCCTGGGGCACAAGGGAAGGGAGGATTTGGAGCTGGAGCAAGAAAGCTGCTTGGCCCTGGAGATGGTTCCTGATGTTGGCCCAGGTCCTCCCCCTCTGGCCACTGTCCAGTGAGGAGACCGACTTTGACCCCAGGGAAATCCACACCGGGCCTCAGGAGTCAGAAGCAACAAGATCCCCAGAACCTTCCCCACCCCAAGCCTGACTCCACTGGTTGGGCATGGGCAGGGCAGTGGAGCCCCGGCCCAGGGCCACGAACCAGCCCTGTGAGAGCCGAGCAGGCGCTGTGGATGGACGAACGGACTGACGGACGGACGTGCAAGGACGAGGGAGGAAGACAGACCCCACCAAGGCAGGAGGAAGAGGAACAGGCACGGAGGGTCCTTCAAGTCACATGCAGGCAAGCAGGCTGCTGAAGAGGCGAGCAGAGGTGTCTCTCAGCAGACGGGGTTAGACCAGCTGCTCCTCAGGGGTTAATAAGCATATATGCAAATGAACCATCGCCCCACCCGCCGCCCAAGGCCCGCCCCCCAGGCTTCTGCAGGCAGGGTTTGGCTTACTTGGTGTCAAGTTCTATGAGATTGGTATCTACAGGCGTCTCGTTCTCTGGAACTAAACATAGGGCAGCCGGTGCCCATGGGTTAGTGGGAGTGGGTGTGGGGACCTGTGGGCACAGGTCCCACCTGGGGACAATCAAGCTAAGGCAGGGAGGGCAAAGGAAGAAGGGGAATGGGGAAGGGGAGCTAACCTCCCGGTCTCGGAAACACCCACATCATCCCCAAGGCAGGGAAGGCGGTTAAGGAAGGGCCCCCTAGGCTCCTGGCAACCCCAGGAAAATACAAAACCCTCTGGACCTGCTCCTTTTGGCATGTCTCCCACATAACTTAGATTCATTTCTTGCATGCATGAATTTTACTAACTCTAAGAAAACCATTTTTTTCACATTTTCACATCTCTGAACTCATATGTTTTACAAAACAATGGCATCTGATAGTCCAGTTGCAGGAACCATCTTCTCCCTTGGTGGTACATACTATGATGTTGTCTCTTTTGGCTGGAACAGTTCTAGATTTAATAAAATATGACCAGTTTGGTACCACTTGGAAGGATTATGAGGAAGGTGTGTCCAGGGGCCTGTATGCAAGACAGGGCTCCAAGCATGGCCAGTGGGCCCCTGCACTCCTGACCTCCCTGCCCCATGAAGGAGAGGAGCCAGACCTCTCTGCCTCCTTGGGGCATCAGATGCAAATAGGAGTGTGGGCCTCACACAGGTCCTGGGAGCTGGGGAAGAAGGGTGACCCTGGGCTGAATGCTAACACAGAGGGGGAACATGGCAGTTGGCGGAGAATGGAACCAGCTATCTGGAAACCCCCACCCCAGTGACCACAGGTCCTGCTCACCTTCTCGATGTGGGGGTTCCTCTTTGGGCTTGGGGTGCATTAGGGTGAAGGGCAGTTCCACAGCCACATCACTGAAATAGAGACCCAGAGCTGGTAAGCCTTGAACCCAGTGGCAGGCTGTGAGTCATACACCCTATTGGTTTGAGAACTTGAGAGAGGTTAATGGTCAGAGGTAGCTATGGACCAAGAGGCAGGAAATCTGGCCTCAAGTCCCCAGTTCTGCCACTCTCTAAGCCTTAGTCTCCCTAGGAGTTGAACTAGGAGAACTCTCTCCTGCCTCCAAATAGAAATGGAAACCTCCCTTTCCTGAGAAGGATCCCCAATTGCCATGAGGTGGGAGGAGGCACAAGTGTGGGGAAAGGATTGCCCAGGACAGTGTATGCAGTGGTCAATGGGTGGCTCCAGAGGTGCCCTGGGACCCTGCTGGCCTCAGGTCACCACAGCCAACCCCAGCCTTCCCTGACATTGCCCTCCCCAGCCTCCTGGCTGGAACTCCTATTCTCACTCCATCCCATCTCCCAACATCTCCAGGATGTGGGGGTTCCTCTTTGGGCTTCGAGTGCATGGGGAGGATCCTTCTGGAGGCCACACAGCTATTAATGGGGAGTGACAGACAAGATTCTGATTCCTTAATTCACATCCACAACCAGAGAGAGAACAGCTCAGAATGGAGAAGGTGATTCCCACCCACTTCTGCTCTCTACCCTTTCAGAAGCAACTCTAGAAGCTCCTCCTCTCAGCTTGTGGTGGTGCCACCCCAAGAGGTCCCACCAACTATGAGAGCCTCCAAGCACGGCCTCATCTTACTGGCCTTGCTGCCCAGGGCCCAGCTGGGAGGGAGGGAAGGAGGGGCAGGGGAACAGACAGGCAGGGAGACAAGCTGTCCAGCCAGAAAGGCCTGTCCCACCTGAGTTTGCCAATCTTCACTAAAGCCACATGGGATATGGATCTTAGTGTTCTGCCAGGCCATGGGCAATCAACAGCAGGGGGCATGTCTCTTTCCTACCTGGGACCTCAGCACCCAGCATAGGGCTGGGAACAAATTGGGTCAGGAAATTTTTATTAAATTTGAACTGAACTGAATTAATTTCACCTCTCCAAATGAACTAAGATTTCTTGAAATAAGCAATATTGCCATCTCGAGACAGGAGGAGGCAAAAACCACTGCATTTGGGGCAAGTTCATTTTTGGAATGTATTCAGATCTAGCTGGCTGCAAGGGAATCTTGTCTACTAAAGTATATCTCCACAGGACCTCTCCTTAGCAATACTTGGCCAGCAGTTAGTTCTTATTAGTGTAGAAGTGTGAAAGCCATGGAGCCTGAATTTTTCCAAAACATCCTATAATTCAGACTGATTGGGAGCCAGTCCCCCAGATCAATGAAGCCAGCTTTGCTATCTGCAAAGGTCCTTGTCTCTTGGGTGGATGGAAGAGCAGGACAGCCACTCAGCTGCATCTCCCTAGATGCCCTGGAGAGAGTTCTATTTCCAGCACCTGCCTGAGCCTGGTAATCAAAAGTGAGTGTTAAGCATTTCCTTCCAACCCCATGCCCTGTGGTTCTGGACAGGCCGGTGGTCTCTGGGGCCCTCCAGGAAGGTGGGTCAGTCAGTTTGAAGGGACAGACTTTACCTGGATGCAAGATCTCCCAACAGGCTGGGTGGGTCAGAGGAAGCGGGAGAAGTGGTCAGGAGAGAGTTCAGAGAGGAAGAAAACAGAAAGCACGTTCATTCACCACTTCTGCTGCCCGTGGGGGTAAAGAAGACCCTGGGACACACTCCCACCCACCCCCGTGCAGCTACAGCTCCTTATTCAGGGATACACAGAGACAGCACTAGCCCTGCCAGGAGGACTGAGACGCAGGCCTGCCTCAGCCAAAGCCCCCTTGGGGGACTTGCTGAGTCCCAGGATCTTCATCTGGTGAGAAGATGTGAAACCAACCCCTGGGCTGCCTGCCCCTGGGAGGCCTATCTTCAGGCAGAAGAAAGCAATGAGGGATTCACTGAGCCTTTCTCAGGGAAAGAGATTGAGGCAGACTGTCTGAGTCCTGCAAGAGTCACAGGGACACAGAGTTTGGGATTTGCGATTCTGATGTGTCCTAGAAAATGTGGTCAGTATTACACACCTCTACCTGCACTTATTATTCTAACAATAAAGGGAGTCAGTGTCTAATGCTATTAGCTTTCCAATCTTTTCATAGAAATTATGAATTAGAAAAAAAATCCCTGTGACAAATTAGAAATCCTAGTTCTATGTTTATAACAACCTGTAGGCCCAACATATGGGAAAAAGTAGTTCTTTCTGAGCTTCCACCAGACTGTGCTCCAGGGCAGGGAATATGCCTGGTCTACCGCTGTGACCCCAGCACCCAGCCCACGATCTGAGATTAGGGGAGGAAATTTCAGAAAATGTTTGGGGAACTACTTGGGCCTCTGTTTTCCCATCTGTAAAAAGGGAGAGTCAGAACATCCTCAGTCCAGCACTGGAATTCTGAGCCCCTTTATCCATCTTCCCAGCAGATGAGCATGGGCAGGAGTGGGGGTGAGAAGGAGGAGGCAAAAACCACTGCATTTGGGGCAAGTTCATTTTTGGAATGTATTCAGATCTAGCTGGCTGCAAGGGAATCTTGTCTACTAAAGTATATCTCCACAGGACCTCTCCTTAGCAATACTTGGCCAGCAGTTAGTTCTTATTAGTGTAGAAGTGTGAAAGCCATGGAGCCTGAATTTTTCCAAAACATCCTATAATTCAGACTGATTGGGAGCCAGTCCCCCAGATCAATGAAGCCAGCTTTGCTATCTGCAAAGGTCCTTGTCTCTTGGGTGGATGGAAGAGCAGGACAGCCACTCAGCTGCATCTCCCTAGATGCCCTGGAGAGAGTTCTATTTCCAGCACCTGCCTGAGCCTGGTAATCAAAAGTGAGTGTTAAGCATTTCCTTCCAACCCCATGCCCTGTGGTTCTGGACAGGCCGGTGGTCTCTGGGGCCCTCCAGGAAGGTGGGTCAGTCAGTTTGAAGGGACAGACTTTACCTGGATGCAAGATCTCCCAACAGGCTGGGTGGGTCAGAGGAAGCGGGAGAAGTGGTCAGGAGAGAGTTCAGAGAGGAAGAAAACAGAAAGCACGTTCATTCACCACTTCTGCTGCCCGTGGGGGTAAAGAAGACCCTGGGACACACTCCCACCCACCCCCGTGCAGCTACAGCTCCTTATTCAGGGATACACAGAGACAGCACTAGCCCTGCCAGGAGGACTGAGACGCAGGCCTGCCTCAGCCAAAGCCCCCTTGGGGGACTTGCTGAGTCCCAGGATCTTCATCTGGTGAGAAGATGTGAAACCAACCCCTGGGCTGCCTGCCCCTGGGAGGCCTATCTTCAGGCAGAAGAAAGCAATGAGGGATTCACTGAGCCTTTCTCAGGGAAAGAGATTGAGGCAGACTGTCTGAGTCCTGCAAGAGTCACAGGGACACAGAGTTTGGGATTTGCGATTCTGATGTGTCCTAGAAAATGTGGTCAGTATTACACACCTCTACCTGCACTTATTATTCTAACAATAAAGGGAGTCAGTGTCTAATGCTATTAGCTTTCCAATCTTTTCATAGAAATTATGAATTAGAAAAAAAATCCCTGTGACAAATTAGAAATCCTAGTTCTATGTTTATAACAACCTGTAGGCCCAACATATGGGAAAAAGTAGTTCTTTCTGAGCTTCCACCAGACTGTGCTCCAGGGCAGGGAATATGCCTGGTCTACCGCTGTAACCCCAGCACCCAGCCCACGATCTGAGATTAGGGGAGGAAATTTCAGAAAATGTTTGGGGAACTACTTGGGCCTCTGTTTTCCCATCTGTAAAAAGGGAGAGTCAGAACATCCTCAGTCCAGCACTGGAATTCTGAGCCCCTTTATCCATCTTCCCAGCAGATGAGCATGGGCAGGAGTGGGGGTGAGTGCTGTGCCCCAGATAGGGACAGAGTCCCCTGGAAACCCCACAGCACAGACCAAGGGGAAGCCTTCCCCGTCCCCACCCCAGGTGCCCGCCAGGGATTGCAGGGAGGATGAGGGGGAGGAGAGAAAGGTGGGAGGGGCAAGGGAGGGGCTGAAGTGCCCTAAATTGGGAGAGGAAAGGGGGATGGAGGAGGAGGAGGAGGAGGAGGAGCCTGAGGAGGAGGAAAAGGAACAGGGCGTAACCAGCTTGGTTCACCCCAAGGCGGATACAGCTAAAAGGTCCAGCAGATGGGCAGGACCGGCGACCGGGGACACGCCATCCTGCCCTTCAGGGCCCTGGGCCGGGATGGGGCACTCACCCGCCCCGAGACACCACCAGCTTCACTTTCACCTTGTAGGAAACGATGATGCCCAGGATCTCCCTATTGGCTCCTTCCCGCAACCTGCAGAGCGACACGGGGAGGCGGTGCATGCGGGCTCACCGGGTCGGTGAGAAATGGCAGGGGCGCTGACCATCCATCCCTCCCCTGGGCCACTCAGCCACCAAGTGCAAGCCCAGGCCGGTGTGTGAAGAAAGGCAGGCTCTGCCCGAGGCAGGGGTTAATGGTCGGGTGGGGGCGGGGTGTTGGGGCCCTGGTTCCATAACTGGCTGTGAAACTCACCCCCTGCGCAAGCCCAGTTAGCCCCTTTCCCTCCAGGGCCTGAGGGCCAGCAGCACAGTGAGGACTGTGGTCTTCCTACACTCACACAGATTCTGCTTCACTCACTGCTCAGGAACCCACGGGCACAAAGGGCCAGACTGGGAGTTCAGAGAGGGTGAGGGCAGTTGGCAAGGGAGGGAGAATCAGGGAAGACCCTGCAGGGGGTGGTGCCTCAACAGGTCTTAAGGACAGGTAGGCCTTGAGCCAGCATGGAGGAAGAAGGCAAACGCTCAGAGGTGAGGGGAGAGCATGTGCAGGGGGTGGGGAAAGCCCGTCTGGCTGGAGCACAGGGTCCGTGCTAGGTGTCGTGAACAGGGGTGCAGCAGAGGCAGGCCAAAGTCCACCATAGGGCCAGACCTCAGCGGGTCGGGCAAGACAGGTGCCCCATGCCCCCCAGGTCTCGGCTAGAGGAGGGTGGCCTCAGAAAGCCAGTGATGACCTTGGGGCAGGGGTGACCATGTGGTCTTAGGGTCCCTGCCTTTGAGGGGCACCTCCACATATGATCTAGCCCAGCTTACTACCCTGATCTCTCCAGACTCTCCAACCCCCTCCTGATTCATCCTCTCCTGCTGGGACGCTTCCAGAAGCTACTTCCTTCATTCCAGCCTTACTCTGCCTCAGGGACACACCCCATCCGACTGAAGACACTAGGTCAGGAGCTACTGCCCCTTGTGGGAAACCTCTCCGGGTTGCCCTGCCTCAGCAAACCAGCAGAGCCCAGCACTGACTAAGGGAGCCCAGTTAGGGGTCCATCTTGTCCTCTGGGTCATCCCCGGGTAGGCGTGGGAGCTGGGGACAGCGTCCCTAGAACTTCAAGCTCCTGAGGACGGCCCTGGAGAATGCCTAGGGAAAGGGCAACCCATGCCTTGTGCTGGCACTGACGGGAGGAAGGCCGGTGTGGGCCCACTGGTGGAGGGGTGAGCGTCTGAGAGCCCTGGAGTGAAGGCGGGTGGGTCCTTACAGGGTGCTGGAAGCCAGGTTCGTGTCTTCATGCTTTAGTTTCCCGTCTAGGGCAAGGCCCCGCTTCTCTCGGTTGTTGGCCAGGAAGGGCGTCAGTGTATAGACCTTGCAGAATGTCGAGCTGGGTGCCACTGTGTCACTGGGAAGAAGGGAGGCAGGTGTGGAAATGCCACCCCAGAGCCAACCCCAGCCCTCACCCCAGGCCAGCCAGGACATCTCAAGACTACATAGCAACATTTTAAGAAATGTTTTAGGTTACAAAAATTATAAGTAAATAAACACACACATACATGAAAAAATTATATGAAATCAATTTTCCCTCTTCACCCACATTATTTGCAGGGCCAGGATAAAAAAACAGGTGCATCTTTTAATTGGCTATGCTACTTCTTTTAGTTGAGAAAAGATGTTTTATTGGAAATCTTTCTTCTTGCCTTAGCTACTACAAGCTTAGGACAAAGTCCCATGCTCAACCATAGCAGCTCTCCTCAAACTTAGATTTTTTTTAAATTAATTATTCTCTACCCTCCCATACACAATCCTTTTACCCAATGTTTTGGATTATTCCTTTATCAGACAAGAAAAGCTGTATACCTAGTGCCGTACCCTCTTTGCCATGGCTTCCAGGAAGCTCATAGCAAAATACCTCCCTTCAATCTAGGTTTCTGATGCAGTGTAATTATGACCCCAATCTCTTTGGATTCATTAGCTCTTATTTTGTCATTCTAGTTTTGTGGGTCTTTTCCTTGACTGTGACATGCATTTTCTTATGGCTAAATTGAGTGGTTATTTTCTAAAAGGCTGCTCAGGATCATCTACTATGAATGGTGGGGACGTCTGAGGCCCAGCCACCTACCAGGTAGAAAAGGGCCATCTGGGCCTATAAGTAGACACAGAGCTGATGTTTTCCCTACCCAACCCCACACATCCACAGATGGGCTTGCGCTTACTTACTCAGCCTCTTCCATGGCCACAGGGCACTTGTACTGGGCTGTATTGAAAAGGCAGATGTCTGCATACTGGCGCACTGGGGAGCAAGAGGGAAACAAAGTGGTCTGAGCCAGCGATGCAGCTTCTGGCCACCCCAGAGTCCCCCGAGTTGGGGACGTTCAGCCCCAGGTAATGGCCAGAATCCACTAGGAACTTCTACAGAAGACCACCCCCAACCTCCACCCACAGAGCAGCCCAAACATACCCATTCTCTTCCTCCATAACCAAACCTCTTCCCCCCGAGGGCAGCTTTGCCCAGCCAGACCCAGGGAAGCTAAGAGGGGAGGCTTAAACAGTAAACTCACTACCTGGCCAATAAGCAGCCTGTGTTATCAGCCTCGAAAGCCTTACCCTTTAGTTTAGAGTAGGCCCTGGGCTTCCCTGTGAGCCAGTTGTTATTTACAAGGCAGTTAACAAGGGAGAGCCTTCTGCTGCTCCCAACCCTTAGGAAGACTCCCTCTTGCCCACCCCGGGCTGACCCTCTGCCCGGGGTACCCGAGATCTTGATCTTCTTCACAGTCTTGTTGGTATTGTTAGTGACGTGAACATTGACGCTGATGGGCTCTCCATGGTAATAGATCTGGAGGGCATAAGAAGGGAGAAGGGCTGGATCGGAGTTTATCAAAGCTCTAGATAGGGGCAGGGAGAAGAGGCATCAACGCATCTCCTGGGCTCCCCAGACCTTGGCCACTCTGACACTGGCCCCAAGTTCATCAGCCACATGCCACTGACACTAAGCCACCAGGCATGTTAGACTTCAGTTCCTTTGTGGGACCCTGAAAGATAATTGAATTAGAAGGTGATATTCCTGGACTCCAGTCCAGGCTTGGTTACCAGAAATAATGGTAACAATAACAATAACAATGATAATGAGGATGACAGTAGTGTGACCTTGGACAGGTTTCCTCTGTATAATGGAGGAGCTGGACCAGGTGATGTATCAAGTCCCTGCCAACTCTGGTTGCCTGGAATTTTGGACACAAAGGGTCTGGAAGAAGCAGGAGAAAGGTGAGGAAGGGCTAACTCCCTTACTGAGAAAAACGGCTCTGTACCCTCACTGTAGGGCCTCACCTTGAGTCTTTCCCCAAGCACTTGCCTTCAGCTGCCCCCAAGAGGGGGAGAGGGTACCCACACCTAAAAGGAGAATGGGGGTGCAGAGAACTGGCCAGGACCCAGGACCCTTTGGGAGGTACACTGACTTCTGAAGCCAGTCATATTCTTTAGGCTCTTGTTCCCCTTTGCACCCCTTTAGGCCCCAAGAGGCTTCCCCAAATCCTCCAAGGGAGGTCTCAGATTCTCTGAGCCCTGTGTTTTAGGGCTGGGGGCAGAAACTCCTACCCAAGCTGTCCCAGAGGCCATGAGAGAGTTAGGATCTAAGGTCCCAGCCATGGTAGGGCAGCTCCCACCCCCCCCACCCCCAGTCCAAGCCTCCTACCTCCTTATCCAAAGAGGCCTCTAGATGCAATGGCTTGTCCGACATGAGGAACTGCCTGGTGGTCTCAGCTGTGGGCTGGGGTCCAGGCCTCTCGGGCGCATACTGAACCTTCCTGATAACCAGGCGCACAGAATTCCTAATGGAGATGGGCAGAGAGGAAAATGACCAGAGTTACCTGCCTCCCGCCCCTTCGCAGTCCTCACATCCCTCTATTGCTCAAGAGACTGCCGTGGCTCCCCATAGCCTTAGAATCCAGTTCAGACTGCAAAGGTTGGCATAGGGGCCTTGACACTATCTGGCCCCACTCCATCATCCCACATTCTGTCCCCAGCCACCCCGACTTCCTCACTATCATCTTGATAGTCTATCTAGTCCTGCCTCTGAAGCTTTGCTTGTACTGAGCTCCTGCCTATTACACTGTCTTCTTGCTTCTACCCTCACTTGCTTCCTTCCTCAAGGCCCAGCTAAATACCTCCTCTTCCAGAGTAGGATCTACCTACTCTGATCTGCTCCTGGTCTGCACTCCCACAGCTCGGCCAAATCACCCTGCAGCAGCACTTTGTGTGAATCTGTGTCTTTGTGGCTAGCAGGATGGGAAGAAAGGGACATTTCACTTCCTACGTCACCTAATGGGGTAAGCTCCTTAAGGACGGAAACGTCTGTCGAGTTGTGCACCACTGTATTCTCAGCACCTATGACAGTGCCTGCTGTATAGCAAATGCCTGCTTAATATCTATTAGATAAAAATATGCAGAGGAGCCCCATGAAGAAATGGGGGCTCAGACAGGTGACAGGGTAAAGGGGATGCAGGCCACTGAAGAGGATAGAGACTCAGGGAGAGGATGGAGGCCCAGAGATGAGATGGGGCTCAGTGAAGGTGACAGTGGCTCAGGGAGGGGAGGACACAAGGATTGTGAGGGGATGGGGACTCGGCAAGTCCCCATTTCTCAGATAAGGAGCCTCCACTCCCCGGAACCAGATACCAGGGTTAATGCCCTTGCTCTGCCCTCACTAACTGTACACCCATGAGTAAATTAACCTCTGTGTCTCCTTTCCTCATCTGTAAACACTGGTAATAATATAGCAGGACCTACTTCTTACATTTGCTCTAAGGATTAAATTAGCACAAACATGTCCATCACTCTGAACAGTGACTTAATAAACCCTTAATAAGCCCTTGATAAATGACAGTTGCTGTATCATTATTAGTAATAACTCTGGGGTGGACATAAAACGTCCCATTGGTGGTGGGGTGAGACTGGTGGCTCTCGGTGTCGCTCCTCTTCCTTGCTCTGGTCAGGGCCCCCTTGCACAAGCCACAACCCCTTCCTTTCTGGTCTGAGGTTTTAAGAAGAAAAGGGGGAAGAGAAACAAGGGAGAAGGGTCCCGCCTCCCGGAATACAGGAACTGTCCGGGCTAGAGATGGAGATGCCTGCAATTCATCTTGTAGCCACCAGGTGGCCAGCTTAGCCCACTCGCTGGAGGTTGCAGGGCCCTCAGCCAGCCTCCGGCAGGACCCTTGCCTCAGAAGGTAGGGAAGTGGGGGCTAAGACCAGCCCCACTAGGAGGCATGCTAGGCCTGAGAGCGGGGGCTGGGCAGCCCACCCCGGAAGTCAGGGCTGGCTGTTTGCCCAGAACACTTTCCCTCTGAGACACGGGCTGAACTCCTCACTATCTGCTGGGTGGGTTCACTTTCTCCATTTCCCTTCCTTGCTTAGACGCTTCCATTGACACCACCACCACCATCACCTGCTGCTGCCTGCTAGCTTCCCAGGAGAACTAGGAAATGGGGGGAAGAGGGGGCACAGTGTGTGGGCAGGTGTTTCAGTATGGCTGGGAAAAGTCTTGCTCACTGTTTAAAACAATCTGAACTTCAGTTTTTTCCACAACAAAATTTTAAAAACATGGAATCTGGAGGGGATGAGACTAGAGACGGGGAGGTGGAGGAAGCAAGTACAGTGATGTAAAGGAAAAAATGCTGAGGCCTGAGCCTGGAAAATTGAGCCACCTCCCCTAGGAAGCCCTCCGTGACCTGCCAAACCTCCAGAGTGGCCTTCTCAGAGTTCCCCAGGCTGGAATGTGCAGCCCCTCCTTGCACACTTCCAGGTATTGTTACTTATCTCTCCGACTTTGCTGGTCCTGTCTCCCTCCCTCTGCCAGTAGGCAGTCCACACCCAAAGCTGGTCCTGTCTCCCTCCCTCTGCCAGTAGGCAGTCCACACCCAAGGCTGGTCCTGTCTCCCTCCCTCTGCCAGTAGGCAGCCCACACCAATGCGGAAGCTCCACATTTCTCACCGCTTGTGAATCTTCTCCTCCAGGTTTTCTGCACAGAAGGCTTTGACTTCATAGTCGACACCACAGGCCTGTGGGGAAAGGGGTCACTGACCGCAAGTCCTTGGGGAGGGCTGGATCCTGAGACCACACCCAGCCCCCTCTCTCATTTTACAAGCAAGGACGCTGGACAGGGACTCCGCGCTCCCACGGCCTGACCAGCCGCCCCTCGGTCTGACTCATGCTTGTGCTCAGCCCATGTTGTGCTGCCTCCCTCTTCGGCTGCCTCCCGCATCTGACTTTCCCACAGAGCTCTGCCCAGGTCCCCCAACACTGGCCATCCCAAACCAGCCTAACTGGGCTCCACTCTCCAGACTCCTGCCTCATCAGAGTGGCCATCCTCATCAAGGCCACTGCCCAGAAAAAACAACGGGTGCCTCAGCAGCCCTGTCTTGGGATCCCTTGTTGTGTACAGGCTGTACAGTGCTTCAGGGTCCCAGCCGCACCAGGAGGCACATCCTTTCATCTCCAGTTTGCAGATGTGGAAACTGGGGCTCAGAGATCTGGGGCCTGTGACACTAGTGGTGTCACCTCTCCTGAGCCTCAGTTTCCCTGGCACAGAACAGCAATGATTGCATCTCCAAATGAGGTTGTGAGGCCAGGTAGTAGTCCAGAGAATATTCTGGTCCTGTTGCAGCCAACACCAAGGTCAGTGGGAGTGACCTCAGGAGAGCCTCTGGACACAAAACTGAAAGTGGGTGTGAGGCTGACATGGTATCTGCTGCCATGTCTGGAAAGAGGCTGTTTATCTGAAGTGGGATCACACTGGCCTAGACACAAGGGGGCTCCCAGTACCTCCCAGAGATAGAGCCAGGGGCCTGAGGACACAGGTGTCCTGCACCCAGAAAGATGCTCCCTTTGGGGTGACCCACCTTCCCTGTGTCTTCAGGCCCCGGCTGCAACGTCACAGAGCATGGGAGGTTTGGAGGGATCTGTTAAGAGGACAGACAGAATGAGCCACTTGTCATTCACCACAGACCTCCCATATCTCCCACCCCCGCCACCCACACACACATCCATCAGACCAGGGGCTCCAGAGGAGAGGACAGACCATGCCAAGGACGCCCCACCCTGACCCACAGCCCCTCCAGGAAAGCCCAAGGTTTCAGTATTTTTGTTTTTGTTTATCTTAAGGGTTGAGCCTACGCCAGTCCTCACGGAACAACAGTTGGACAAGGTCTTTCCATGATGTCTACTGTGGTGGCAGAATAATGGCCCCCAAGAGAAGTCCACATCCTAATCGCCAAAACCTGTGACTATGTAACCTTACTTGGCAAAAGGGCCTTTACAGGGGTGACTAAATTAAGGAACTGGGCTTGGGGGATTCGCCTGGATTACCCAGGTGGGCCCAGGGCAATCACAGGGCCCTTAACAGTGAAAGCAGGAAGCAGAGGAGTCATCATCAGAGCGAAGGGATGTGAGATGGACCCCACGGGCCCCTGCAGGCACTCAAGGTGGGGAGGGGAGGCTGAGGCTATGAGCCAGGGCAGTGAGCTGTGTCTAGGAGCTGGAAAAGGCAAGGAAAGAGAATCTTCTAGAGCCTCTGGGGAGAGTGCAGCCCTTGGACACCTTGCGTTATCCCAGTGAGGCCTATTTTTGACTTCTGACCTCCAGAACTGTGAGACACTAAACGTGTTGTTTTAATTGTCATGTTTAAGTATTACCAGGTTCATGGTAGTTTGTTACAGCTGCAGGAAACCAACTCATCTACAATGGAGAAGACGCCTCCATATCGTCCCCTGTTCGCCTAACAGAAAGTGAGAGGATTTCACTGAATCAAAGAATCGGAGGGTCTGAGAAATAGGAGATTTTAAAATCCAGACTTTTGGGGTCCTTCCCGGCAAAGCAAGGGAAGCCCAGATTGTGGTCCCTCATTTGTGAGTGGGCTGATGCTGGGCAGGTGGGCTGCTGGTGTTAGCGGGAGACAGCTATGCAGTGACCCAGCGGCGAGAAAGGGTTCCTTCTTTCTCTACAGCAACCCCCGCCAGCTCTTTCCCCAGGGACCCGGCCTCAGGAGGGCCCAGGGAATCTGGTCATGCCCCAGAGATAGGGCTGACACCCCTGGCAGTGGCCAGAGGCACGTGCCCCACACCCCAAAGTGCACTGGGAACCTGGGTCATAGGGAGCTGCTGCTCCTGTGTGTCTGCCCCAAGGGCTTCCTAGAGGTGGTGCTTCTGCAATGGGGCCCCAGGAGCTGGGAGTCCCTGACCTCAAAGGTGAAAGGGTAGGCGTGCTCGCCCAGCTTCTTGATGAGGCGCTCCTGTAGCCGCGTCAGGGGCTTCTTGTCCTCGGGTGCTGGCGGGAAGGACTGCACGTTGGCCACAAACAGGTCCTTGCGAAAGGTCAGGCCCAGGACATCCAGGTCCTCCCGGCCATAGCGGAAGGCGCAGGTCAGTGTCACATAGACTGTGGGAGCAGGGGTGCTGAGGAGGGGCCCGGGAGGGCACAGACAGGGCCCCCCAGGGCACCAGCTGAGTCCTGGGATTGGCCCAGCTGGACACCAGAGGTCTGTCCCAAAACTTCTATGGGGAGAGCTGTGCTGCCCTTGGGACAGGGCACTGGGTACGTAAAAGAGCCACCAGGGGGCCTGGCCCTTGAGGGGAGGTGAGGGCTGAGTGCTGGCTCACTTCTGTCCTCCTCCACCCCCACTCCAGTCCTGGGATGTGTATAGGGCCAAGGAGGTGGTCTGACAGGGTTGGTGGAGGCTGGAGTAAACTGGCAGGACTGGTGAGGAGGGGCTGGGGGAGGGATGGGAGGGAGTATACTTGGAGAGAGCAGAGGGGAAAGAAGTGCTGGGCAGTCTTGTGCTTGTCAGAAGGCACAGAGTCCTGTGCCAGCCAAGCCCTGTTCTGCTGACCTTGGACAATCCCTTTACCTCCCAAGGAATCAGTGTTTCTCTTCTGCAAAATGAGCCCCTAACTCCTGCCCTCTTGGCATCCCAGCCTTACATCATGATAAACTGATGTAAAAGGGCTCAGGGCATTGCAAAGTCCTCCCTAAGTGGGCATGGACAGGGCTGCCCCAGGCCAGAGGAGACCAGGGTACCTGCTCTGATGCTCATTGGAGCCGTGGAGGGAAGAACCAGTGGGGATGGGCAGGGAGCAGCTATAAAATTAGCCAATGTCCTGTCTGGGAGTCAGGGAGGCCCTAGGCTGGAGGTTGGTGGGGAAGGAGAGGCCCCTTGGCAGGTTGGGTGTGGGGGCCACAGCCTCACCTCTCCTCTCCTTGAGGTACTCAGGATCCACCAGGACCACACCATCTGGGGGAAGGACAGAGAGTGAGCAGCCCCTCCCAACTTGACCTCTCAAACACCTAAGCCCCAAACACCAAGCCAAATCCAAACCTAACCATCTGTCTGTCCAAAAGCATCATGAGAGAAACAGGGTGGCAGCCAGACCCGGGGGGATGACCCCTCACCTGCAGGTTGGCCTCACAGACCCAGCTGGTGGGTTTCTTCATCTGTTAATGAGAATAATAACATGGGTCTGAAACCCCTACCATCAGGTATGCTTTAGAAGCTTTGAATTGTGGGAAGGCCATATGGCCTATCCTCCATTTGTTCTGAACCCCTCTGCAGGACCTGGGGCAGCCCCAAACCCATCAGTACCTCTGAAGGGAAATGTGAACATTTTCATCAAGAGCCTAAATAAGGCATAAGGATCTTCCTATCAGTTCAGATCAAGATTTTACCACTAAATAAACTCTGCATCTAACTTATAAACAATGTTAGGCTTCCAGAGTTGTGTTGGATTTGGGATTTGCATCAGAGGTTGGGATTCCCTAGAACCTACCTCCCAGGGCTCCTGTGAAAACTAGATGAGTTAATGCATGTGCACTGTTAGACGGTACCTGGCACGTCTGACATGGCAGAGAATGGCCTAAGGCCTGGCCTTGGGAAGGTAGAGTCCAGCTAGACACAAAGGGTATTTTCTCTGCCCAGAACCCCAGGAAGCCAGGAACACTGACTCAGGAGCTACCTCCTTGCCTGACATCCCCAGTCAACTCAGGCCAAACTTCCCCCAGCCACACCCACTGAACAAGCAAACCTCTTTCCACACTCGAGCCTAGCTAGGCCCCCACAGCCAATCTGTCAGGGCATCTCAGAGGCCACCTCTGGGAGTGAGTGCCTGGGGGCTCCTGATCCTAGCCCAGTTCTGGACACCTGGACAGGGGAGTGCCCTTCTGTCCCCAGAGCCTGTTGTGCATCCTCCCTCCTTTTGAAGTCAGTGGAGAGGGCATCCCAGCAAGGGCACACCCCTCAGCCAGGGGTGTCAGGGAAGGCTCTCTGGGGAGGTAAGTTGGAGCCAGGTCTAAAAAGGAAGTATGGGTCGCCAAGCAGATGATCAAAGGACGGCCCAGATGGGCAGCAGGAAGAGCACAGCTCGGAGCTTGGGAGAACATATCCTGGAGGCTGGTGAAAGGCCAGGTCTGATCTGAAATGTCCTGTCCGTAGGCCAGGGGGTTTGGACATGCCCTGGGGTTCAAAGGAGAGCCATGGGCGATAGTTAAGCCCGGGAAGACATAATTAGCTCAATGCTGAGACAGAAAAAGTATTTCTCAATGTGGACCATTTGATCAACTCTGGGCAACAGCCCAGACCTCTCTGGGATCCCCAGGGCTCAATACAGGACAGGGCACCAAACAGGTGCTCTGTGAACACCTGCTGAACAGCTCTCGGGGTGCCTGGTTCCTGCCTGCTTCTGGCCCCTGCCCCACACCCACCCCACCTCTGGGCTACCCTGCTGCAGTCCTTCATAGGCCAATGGGTGTGGTCAGCCCTGGCCTCAGACAGCCCACTGGAAACAGCCTTGAAGCAGACCACAGGCAAACACCAGAATACTTGCTCACTGGCTCCAAGGGGACAGTTGGGGGGAAGATGCAAATGGCAGAGGGGACACTGAGTTTCAGAGAACACCAGTGTCCCCAGACAATGCAGGAGAGGAGAAGTGGGATTGTGTTGCTCTAATTATTTAACTTCTCTGGGCTTCACTATCCCCATATGTAAAACAGGGGTAATTCCGGGCCGCCCTCTACCCCATGAGAAGAGGCAATGAGGTTAAGGCTCTTCTAACAAGAGCTATGGTTCCTGGGATCCTAACCAGGGGTGACTGCATCTCCCAAGGTGATATTTGGCAATGTCCAAATATAACATTATTACACTGGGATGGGGGTACTCTTGGCATCTAATGGGTAAAGGCCAGGAATGCCCCTAACCATCCTATGATACACAGGACAGCCCTCACCAATTATCCAATTCAGAATATCAACGGTGGAGGTTGAGAAACCCTGAGCTAAAATACAGCCTTGAAAGGTACCTTCAGCCACAAGCTGGTGTCTGGCAAGACCTCCATGTGGGTGAGGAACAGCCTGCATTTTACAAGCCCAGGGTTTTCCTTCTATATCCTGCCGTTTGCCAGGAGGGGACATCAGAACACAGGTTCTGTGGAGCCAGGTGGCCCAGGTTTGAATCCAGACTCCTCTATGTACAGCTCTGTGACCTGAAGCAAGCGGCTAACCTCTCTGTGCCGTTCTCCTCATCTGTGAAGCAAGGACGTTAGTAGCAGCCCGCCATCATCAACCACATCCTCCTTATCACCTCAGGATGCCTGTCCTGCCTCTTATCTCAGTCCTCCCCACAATTTCCTCACACAGTCCTCTGAAGGGAAAAGTAGCTGCTCCGCAAATGTCTGCTGACTGAAGCAGGAAGCTACTCATGCCCCATTCTCAGCACGAGTTCCCTCTGGAGACCTAAGGGCTGTTCCTGGGCAGCTTCCAAACGCCCTTCTCTGGAAGGAGCCAGTTCAGCCCCACTGCCCCCTGTGCCTCCCTCCTTGGCTTCCAGAGACTCACCCACAGGGTCCACGAGGTCAATGTGGTCCACAAAGTCCCGTTTTCCCAGATAGACGGTGAGCTAGGGAGAGATGCAGGGGATGTTAGTGGCTGTGGGCCTGGCGGACACATCTCTGAAAAGCCACTGGCCCTTGCCTTGAAGGAAACCCTGGGAGCTGCCCCTGAAACTCCCAGACCGATTGAAATCCTATCTGGACTTGGACTGAGCCCCAGCCCTCCTACTAACAAGTTCTTGTACAATTTCGGAAGCACCTGTTCATCCCAAAGACCTCTGAAGAAGTTGGTATTGTTCCCATCTTACAGATGAGGACACTGAGGCCTGGGGAGCTCACACCAGGCACCACCCATGTGGAACAGCAGCAGCAGGAAGTCTGCTGAGCAGGACTGCTGGGTGCGGCAGGGCCAGAGGCGCTGAGCTGGGTGCTCTGAGCACTGAGCCTGAGCTCTTCACTGCTCCTCGGCCCTCGCAGTCAGGCAGGGATCCACTAAGAGAACACCAGTGTCCCCAGACAATGCAGGAGAGGAGAAGTGGGATTGTGTTGCTCTAATTATTTAACTTCTCTGGGCTTCACTATCCCCATATGTAAAACAGGGGTAATTCCGGGCCGCCCTCTACCCCATGAGAAGAGGCAATGAGGTTAAGGCTCTTCTAACAAGAGCTATGGTTCCTGGGATCCTAACCAGGGGTGACTGCATCTCCCAAGGTGATATTTGGCAATGTCCAAATATAACATTATTACACTGGGATGGGGGTACTCTTGGCATCTAATGGGTAAAGGCCAGGAATGCCCCTAACCATCCTATGATACACAGGACAGCCCTCACCAATTATCCAATTCAGAATATCAACGGTGGAGGTTGAGAAACCCTGAGCTAAAATACAGCCTTGAAAGGTACCTTCAGCCACAAGCTGGTGTCTGGCAAGACCTCCATGTGGGTGAGGAACAGCCTGCATTTTACAAGCCCAGGGTTTTCCTTCTATATCCTGCCGTTTGCCAGGAGGGGACATCAGAACACAGGTTCTGTGGAGCCAGGTGGCCCAGGTTTGAATCCAGACTCCTCTATGTACAGCTCTGTGACCTGAAGCAAGCGGCTAACCTCTCTGTGCCGTTCTCCTCATCTGTGAAGCAAGGACGTTAGTAGCAGCCCGCCATCATCAACCACATCCTCCTTATCACCTCAGGATGCCTGTCCTGCCTCTTATCTCAGTCCTCCCCACAATTTCCTCACACAGTCCTCTGAAGGGAAAAGTAGCTGCTCCGCAAATGTCTGCTGACTGAAGCAGGAAGCTACTCATGCCCCATTCTCAGCACGAGTTCCCTCTGGAGACCTAAGGGCTGTTCCTGGGCAGCTTCCAAACGCCCTTCTCTGGAAGGAGCCAGTTCAGCCCCACTGCCCCCTGTGCCTCCCTCCTTGGCTTCCAGAGACTCACCCACAGGGTCCACGAGGTCAATGTGGTCCACAAAGTCCCGTTTTCCCAGATAGACGGTGAGCTAGGGAGAGATGCAGGGGATGTTAGTGGCTGTGGGCCTGGCGGACACATCTCTGAAAAGCCACTGGCCCTTGCCTTGAAGGAAACCCTGGGAGCTGCCCCTGAAACTCCCAGACCGATTGAAATCCTATCTGGACTTGGACTGAGCCCCAGCCCTCCTACTAACAAGTTCTTGTACAATTTCGGAAGCACCTGTTCATCCCAAAGACCTCTGAAGAAGTTGGTATTGTTCCCATCTTACAGATGAGGACACTGAGGCCTGGGGAGCTCACACCAGGCACCACCCATGTGGAACAGCAGCAGCAGGAAGTCTGCTGAGCAGGACTGCTGGGTGCGGCAGGGCCAGAGGCGCTGAGCTGGGTGCTCTGAGCACTGAGCCTGAGCTCTTCACTGCTCCTCGGCCCTCGCAGTCAGGCAGGGATCCACTTGTAAGAGGGCTTGTTTTCCGAGTGAGGAACCGGGAGCTGGTGCACCGCTCAGCAGCCAGCCTTCAGGGAAGAATCCCCAAGCTAGAATGCAGAGTGTTGTCCAAAATGCTTCCAGCTCCTCTATCATCCCTAAATCCTGATGAGTCTCCTGCAATTGTATTTCTCAACGCACCCCCTCCTCTCTGGCCTCACAGCCACTCTTGCCTGGACTACACACCAGACCCCTCAATGGTCTGCTACTGAAGCCTCACGTACTCTGGGCTTCTTCCCTCCTTAGCTAGACTGGTCGTCCTAAAATGCAAAACTAATAATGCTACTCTGATCTGAAAACACTTTAATGGTTCTTCGGTGCCCAGAGGTAAGATGACAAATGGGTTTCATTCCAAATGCCAACTCTGATCGATTGCCTGGGACTCTGGGTTGAGAAGGAATCTCAGATGGAATCCTGGCTCAGCAGGAAAGGGTGAATGGTGATGGGTGAAGTCTGCTATGGGCAGAGAGGGAGACTGGAAGCACACCTGGTGCTATTTGCCCAGGCCAGGAGTCCGGCCACAAGACTCCCTGAGACCCAGCCCTGCAGCCTCCCCCGCCTCAGCTGCCGCCCCCTCTGCCTTCCTCTTGGCACTCAGGTTCAGCTGCTGTGATTCCCCCACATTCCCTGTGACTTATGTTCATGCCTAGAATGCCTTTTTTCACCCTGCCTTGCCTGGAAGTGCATCCCTCCAAGGAGAAGCCACCCCTGACCACCCAGGCTAGGTTCTGCAGCCCCTGGGCACCCCTTTGCCTCACACCTGCCACTTTACATTACAGTGATCAATGTCCATGTCTGCCTCCCCCACCTGACGGGGTGTGGTATGGGCTGGGTCTCATTTTTCTTAGTACACCGACCCCAATACCCAGGGGCTCAGCCTGGACCTGACATGGAAGGATGTCGGTAATATCTACTTGCTGAACTGAAAGGAAAGCAGAATGGAGCCTGGGGCCTGTGGAAAGAAGAAAGCGGGCCAGGCACTGGGGGCCGCCCTGGATAACTAGTTGACACCAGGCTTCAGCAGAGAGGCTCCAGGGCCTCTCACACCAGAGGAATCAGTGCTTGTGAGTCCCTTGACACTTACTCTAATTATCACACCCACACTGAAGTCTCTGTGATAGGCTGTGTCTCCCCACACCAGAGCAGGGGCTCCCTAAAGTCCAGGGGAGCTGTACTGCCACCTTCAGAGGGTTCCTAAGAGGGTAGCTCCCCCTAGACTGGAGGCTCCTAAGGACAGAGCTGTGTCTCCCCATCAGATGGGGTGTGCGGGGTCACGTATGGGCAGGAGAGATGCTCAGGAGAGAACAAGAGCTCAGGGCTTGGAGGAGCTTGGGTATGGCTGCTATAGACTCACCTTTCCATTTGGACTCGCTTTCTTGAACACCCTGTGGAGAGACAGAAAGCCAGGGTCAGCACATCCCACCCAGGGGAAGGCTCCTGCAGGTCATCCTCAGCAGGACTGAGAAGAAGGGGCCTGCAGGAACTTCCAGGCACCATCCAAGCCTTGAGAGCTGGAACAGTGGCCAGCAGAATCAGATCTCTCCATCTCCATCCACTAAAGCCACAGCCACCAGTTCACGGGTACCACCGTTATAGCCCTCCTGGGCTCCAGCCACAGCCCCGTCCATCTGTTCTTCACCCAGCAAGTGGAGGGCATCTTTCAAGATAAGTCAGACCAGGCAGAGTCCTCCCAGCTCAGGCAAGGAACAGCCGCGTGTGCATGGCCTCACCTGCCTCCTCTATCCCCTGCCTCACCTCCCACCCTTCTCACTCACTCCTCCAGCCCCACCACCTCCCCTGTCCCTCCAACATCAGGGGGGACCTGCCTCTGGCCTGGGCTCCGGCGGTCCCCTCCCCTGGACGCGCTCCCCACAGGTCTGCTTGCCCAGCCTGGGCTTCACCATGCACCTCAGCCCCACTCGCTTACTCTACTTCCCTTTCGCATGGCACTCAACACTTCCTAGCCTCCTACCTCACTTGCTGGTTGCATTTGTGCCTGTCTACACTACTAACACCTCAGCCCCAGGAGGGCGGGGATCTTTGTGTCTCTTTTCCATGGATGCATTCAAGCACAGAGAATGGCGGATCTAGTAAATGTTTAACACATCTGTGTTAATGAAGGACAGGCAACGAGTACTCAGTAAATATTAGCTGAGTGGGTGAATGGATGAATTAGTGAAGGAACCAATTGAGAAACTGAGGCCCAGGGAAGGCAGAAGATGTGCCAGTGACCACACAGCAAGAGGCCTGGATGTGGAGTCGGTAGAGGCCCCACCCTATTCAGAGTGCTCGCCTGCCTTCCAGAGTACACTGCCATCTGCAGCAACCCCACCCTCTCCCCCCAGCAGGGTTTGGGAGCCTGAGACCACTGCCTACCGCCCATCATCTGGCCCCAGAATTACTCGGAGTAATGTTGGGAGGGAGAGAAGAAAAGTGAGAGACAGAGACCAACACCCAGAAATAAGGGAAGGTGCTGGAGGAAGGAGGGAGGGAGGGAGGGAGGGACACTGGTGTTGGAGATGTGAAAATAAAAGATGGGATGAGAGGTGGAAAAACAAACAAAAAGAGGGAGAGAGAAACAGTGACAAAGAGAGTGGTGGAGCAGGCTCACACGCTGTCAGGAGGGACCCACACAGCATAAATGCTTCCCTAGGAGAAGGGGTCCAGCAGGCATCCGGGGCAGGGTGGGCTCAGGCCCACAGCATCACAGTGAGAGTGGCTCCTTCCAGAAGGGGAGAGAGATGGTGGATCTGTGCAGCCTCCATAGCCCCCACCCCCCCACCTGCACCCCTTATTTCTGGATCCCAAGGGACCACTGATGAGTCTGAGCTTGGCTTGCAAAAAGGACCTGACACATCTCTCCCTCACCTCCCCCAGGAGGTCTGGGCTTCTCTCCTCCTCATAAATATTTACCAGTGTTTGGAGTGTGAGGCTGTCTTAGTCAGCTGGGGTATAATCATTGCTAAAAAATACAATAACTGAGAAAAAATAGAGATCACACAGTTGGAACCAGCAGCTCCCAAGCTAGGGCTGGACCTGCAGAGACCAGAGAAATGGCACAGGCCACTGGGACCCCAGCTACAGCCAGAAGCCTCCATCCACCCCTTGAGATCCTGAGTCTATGGGAAAGGAGAAGCCACAAATGCCTGAGGCCTTGAATAAATGAGTCAATGAAAGCCATTCCAGTGGTGCCTGAGAGGCACAAAGGGCAGCCTGACACAGGCAGGGGCAGCCTGGACACAGGAAGCGGGGGAGTGATAAGAAGGGAGGGAGGCAGGACCAGCATCTACTGAGCGCCTATTTAATTATTTATCATAACAACACTGTGAAATGGACATTATAACTCCCGTTTTATAGAAAGTGAACTCCAAGTTCAGACTGATGTAGTAATTTGCCCAGAAATACACAGCAAGCAAGGGGCTAAGTCAGACTCAGACTCTGCTCTGCCTCTCGGCCTCCAGAGGCCTGATACTTTATATCCAACCGTGCTGCCTACCCAAAGCAGGCGTTGTTATCAACTTCGGGAATAACAGAAAAGAGGGAAAATGAGGACAGGAGAAGGGGAGGAAGAAATAAAATGACATGTAAAGGGCAAGAAGGAGAGTGAGGGTGACGAGGGGCAGGACGCATGGCCAGTGGTGGGTCATGTCCTGTCGCTGACTCAGTCAGTCCCTGGGGACCCCCTCCTCAGGAAGCAGGGGTGTTGCTGGCTTCCTCAAACAACAGCAGCACCATGCCCTGAGAGCACGGTATGCCCTAGTCATGTCTCTATATATTCTTCCATAACGCTGCTGATCCCTAAACAATCCCATTTCAGAGATGAGGAAACTGAGGCTCAGAGAAGCAAACGGTGGCTGCCTGCGTCCAGAGCCTGTGTCCTCACCAATAGGTTGCACAGCCTAGCCCTCCCTGAGACAACTCCACTGGCTTCCCGACCCCAGCGCCATCAGAGAAAAAGGCCCCTGTGGGTCACTGGGACCCCACGTGTGCTTTCGCCTGCCCACAGAGCAAGCACAAACGTGCAAGAATGTGGCCAAAGCCAAATTTCCAGATTATGGGACGACTGGGTTTGGTTCACCCCCAAGTCCCATCGATGTCCCACATGTCTGACTCTCAGAGTCAATGCTGGGCCCCATAAGAGAAATGCCAGCAGCGGTCTGGTCGATTAAGGCTCCCTGGAGACAAGGCACAGAAACCCACCACGGTAGCTGGAGAAAAGGAGGGAGGTATGATAAGGAAACAAAAATCTTACGGGAAGGCCGTGCAGGCAGGAGGCATGGGGGCTGGAGCCTGGAACAGGGAAGCCATCAGCCTCTCAGGCGCTTGCTCTCTCTTTCCACCTCTCCCCGGGGCCGCGCACTCTCCCAGCGGCACTGCTCTCCAGGCGGCTGCTCCATTGCCTCTGTGACCAACTCCCTCTGCTTACTCAGGGCTTTTCTGCTCCTCCATCATTTTGCCTTGCATGTGGCTCTCACTCTGACCCTGTTTCTACTCTGCCTCTGGCTCAGCTTCTCACTGCTCCCATACCAGCTGAATGGCCCAATTCCAAATTCCCAGGAGAGGAATTTGATTGATCAGCTTTGGTCAGATGTCCCATGCTTGGGCCAATCCGCCATGCCGAGGGTGTGTCTTGTCTTCCCTGAGGTGTGGGCAGAAAAGGGTCTATAGAGCAGTGTTTTTCAAATCATGGGTCACAACCCACTAGCTGATAATGAAACAACTTATTGCCACCAGCACTTTGTTGCTGTTGTTTTTTTAATAGAAGATTCCATGCACCAGGAGGTGCAGAGAGCGAGAGTATAGAAGATACTACTATATTTACCAATATTTAATTCCCCACTAAGGCTAGGCAAGTTTCTCCAGTCTTATGTAGTTAGGCATGTCCATGTGGCTTGGCTTGCTCTGGCCAATCAAATAGGAGTAGCAGTGCCACATGTCACTTCCAAACAGAAGCACTTAAGGGCAGGTACACGGTCCCCATACCCTTTGTATTAGTTTTCTAGGGAGCCTATAACAAATGACCACAAACTTAGTAGCTTAAAACAATGTACACTTATCTTATAATTCTGTAATTCAGAAATTCAAAATGTACCCCCACTTGGTTAAAATCAAGAGGTTGGCAGGGCTAGTTCCTTTCTGGAGACTCTAGGGGTGAATCTGTTTCCTTGCCCTTTCTGGCCACTAGAGGCCACCCACAGTCCTCATCTCCGGGCCTCTTCCTCCCGCTTCAAAGCCAGCAGCAGGTTGAGTTCTTACCACTTTGTATCGCTCTGACCTCTTCTGCCTCCCTTCTGCCCTTAGGACACATTCATCCCTCTATTTTAACGGCAACTGATTAGCAACCTTAGTTACATCTGCAACTATAATTCCCCTTTCCCATGTGATATAACATATTCAAAGGTTCCAATGATTAGGATGTAGACATCTTTGGCAGGTGAGGGGGGCCTTATGCCTACCACACCCTCCTTCCTCTACCACTGAAACCAGAAGTGATCTGGATGGGGAAGCCTCCACCAACATAAATCCCAGGGCTCTCCTACCACATGCTAGATATGTAGCATGAGAAAGAAAACTTTTGCACCACTAAGATTTGGGGACTGTTTGCCACTGCAGCAGACCAATTTCTCTTGGCTGCTATAAAAAGGAAGTATTATTTTCCTTTTCATTTCATACACTTTCATTTTAGGTGAACTGAGTTACAATGTTAAATGAATTTCATGCTGCACATTTTTTAATGTTTAAAATCCATCATTCTAGAGAAACATGCCTAAAACAAACATGTTCTATCAGTGTCTGTGCAGCCTGTTGGATTCTGTTTCCTGATTCCATTCCATCAGGGTGGTGCTGCCAGGCAGGCAAGCAGGTCAGCTCTCCATTAATCAGAATGTTGGTATCTCCAGTGAACCCCAGTTCTCCACCTGCAGGATGGAGTCCCTGTTGATCAACTATGACACTAATATTCTGCTGCTCTTCTGTGAGCCACCAGTCCTCCCATTGTCCTTTTTTGCCTGTAGGAAGACACCTGCACCACGAGGGGCCCAGAACAAAATACCTTCCATGATAGGTTAGCCAACAACCAAGAGTTTATAATTCTGTGTGGTACAGCCAAACAATGGCATAGCATTGAAAGTATTCTTGCATCTTTCATAACACAGGGAAATGACGATGACAGAATATTAAGCGGAAAAAGTCAGGTTTCAAAACAATATATCTGGCATGAGCTCAACTTTATACTCAGTGCATACCAAAAGAATGAGAAGACTTAATGTTGTTAGGATGGCAACACTCCTCAAATTAATCTACAGATTCAATGCAGTGCCTATCATAATCCCAGATTTTTTTTTGCAGAAATTGACAGCTCATCCTAAAATTCACATGGAAAGGGAAAGGACCAAGAATAGCCAAAATAGTCTTGAAAAAAAAAAATGGAACAAAGTTGGAGGACTCACACTTCCAAATTCAAAACTTACTACAAAGCTACAGTAATCAAGACTGTATGATACTGGCATAAGATAAACATACAGATCAATGGAACAAAATTGAGAGTCAAGAAACAAACCCCACATATTTATGTTCAGTTGATTTTTGACAAGGGAGCTAAGACATGTCAATGGGAATAAAACAATCTTTTCAACAAGTAATGCTGGAACAGGATATATTCACATGCAAAAGAATGAAGTTGGCATGCCTACCTCACACCATGCACAAAAATGAACTCAAAATGGATCACAGATCTAAATGTAAGAGCTACAACTATAAAACTCTTAGAAGAAAATATAAGTGTCAGTCAACATGACCTTGGATTAGGCAATAGTTCCTTAGATATGACACCAAAAAAGCACAGGTAACTAAAAACAAAAGAAGATAATGTTACTTCATCAAAATTAAAAAAATTTGAACTTCAAAAGTCACTATCAAGAAATTAAAAAATGAAACCCACAGAATTAGGGAAATATTTTCAAATCATGTGTCTGATAAGGGTCTAGTATCTAACATATAGGAGACCCTATTATGATTCAACAATAAACAGGCAAATAATCCACTTAAAAATGGCCATGGATTTGAATAGACATTTCTCCAAAGAAGATATACAAGTGACCAATAAGCACATGAAAAGATGTTCAATGTCATTTGTCATTAAGGAAATGCAAATCAAAGCCACAATGAGATATTTCACATCCGCTAGGATAGCTATAATCAAAAAAGGACAATAACAAGTGTCATCAAGGATGTGGACATATACTGCTGTTGGTAATGAAAAGTAGTGCAATTACTTAGGAAAACAGTTTGACAGTTCCTCTGAAAGTTGAACAAAGAGTTAACACAGGACCCAGAAATTCTATTCCTTGGTATATACCCAGAGAACTGCAAACAGATGTCTACACAAAAATTTGTACATAAATGTTCATAGTAGCATTATTCATAACAGTTACAAAGGTTGAAAACAACCCAACTGTGCACCAACTGATGAATGTATTTTTTTTACATAGCATATGCAATTACGTACAATGGCATGTTATTCAGCAATAAAAAGCGATGAAGTACTAATTCATGCTACAACATAGATGAAACTTGAAAACATTATGTTAAGAGAAAGAAGCCAGACACTAAGGACCACATATTGTTTGTTTCCATTTATATGAAATGTCCAGAGTAGGCAACTACATAGAGACAGAAGATGAGTGGTTGTCAGGGGTTGGTGGGAAGGGAAAATGAGAAGTGACTGCTAACGAGTAGGAGTTTCTTTCGGGGTAATACAAATGATAGTTACACAACCTTGTGAATATACTAAAAACCACTAAATTTTACACTGAAACTGTGGATGTTATGGTATGTAAATTATATCTCAATTTAGAAAAATAAACTAAAAACAAACCCCCAAAAGTGAACGAAAGGAAAGGTAATGTGCCTAAATATTAACAGGGGTTGAAGAGCCTCCCTCCACCCACCCACCCACCTACTTCTTTTTTCTTCTTATCTTTCTACATTGTAGAATAAGCATAAATTACTTTATAAAGATGCCAGGGCTTCCTTAATAAGCTGTCTCACAGTCTTGGTAAAAGGGGAGTGTGGCAAGTATATTGTAAGTAAAGTAGAGAAACATGGATCCTGAGTCCCTTGATGTTACAATCTGTGGTTCTGCGATTTTATAAACCAGAGTCCACATGTCTGTGATTCCTCAGATCCCTCCCCGGACCTGCTGTGTCAGCTATTAGAACTGCTGTGCTGTGTCTTCTGCTCAGCTATCCCTTACTCCAGAGAGCCTTCTCTGACTCCCCCAAGTCTGGGTTAGATGCCTCCAACTCCCAAACGCAGTGTGGCCCCAGTCACAACATTTCCCACACTTTGTAATGGTCTGTTTACTCACCCTCTGATTTACTTACATAACTTAAATGAAAGTAGAGACCTTATTTATGTTCTTGAGGCTGGATCCCAGGGGCATAGCATGGTGCCTGGGGCACAGAAGGTGCTCAATAAATAAATACAGGATGAATGTTGTTGAGTGAACGCTCTAAGAAAATTAGTCAAGAGGAAGGGTGGATGAAGTTTACAAAGGTGGGAGTTGGTGACGATCCTTTTCTCTGGGTCAGGGGACTCCAGGGACTTCCTCTATCTATACTTCTCTTTGGCTGTCAGGATCACTGGGCTTTGGGCTTAGAAAGTGCTTCATAGGGGCAGGGTCCCAGTCACCATCAGGCTGAGTCAGGAATACAAGTGGTAGATGCAAAAGGGCCTGTGCTCAGCTTTGACCAGTGGCTCTCCCGCTTATCACTCACTCAGGCACATTCACAAAGCAGACCCCTGCCAGGCTCTGCGGTCACTAAGGTAAACCATTCATGGTCCCTGCTGCCAGAAGACCAGAGTAGAGCCATGTTAGCAAAACCCGCTCAGCACGATGGCCACTGTTCATTAAGCTCTCCCTACGAGCCAGGTGCTGTGCTAAACACTTTATACATGTGAAGGTACTATATTACTCTGTCTACATATTCCCATTTTTTTCCAAAGGACAAACCTGAGACTCAGATATTCTAAAAAATGTATCCAAAGTCACAAAGCCAGTATTGGAAAACTCATACAGGAGAGAAAGCCTACAAATAGGCCACCTGTGGGAAATCACTTAGACAAAACACATCTTAGTCAACATCAGAAAACTCATTCTGGGGAGACTATGTGTGAATGCAGATTCACCACCAGTGAACTGAGAGTATACTGGTAACAGTTCACCCCTTTGTGAGAATCGGAAAATGACATTGGAGAAAAATGCCATGAAGACAGTGAATGTGGGAAGAGCTTCAAATAGTACTCAATCTTTAGGCAACATCAGAAAACTCATCCAGGAAAGAAACCAGGTGCCAGTTACTGGTCTAATTGTGTCATAAATATTCACTCATTTGTTCCTCCAACAACCTTATAAGGAGGTGCTACAATCTCCCCCACTTCACAGATGAGGAAACTGAGGCATGGAGACTCTAAGTAATTTGCCC